GCCCGCATTGCATACCCGAGGCAGGGCTATTGAGAGGGGTAGGGGCGTCAGGGGACCGCAGCCTCTCACAGCCCCCTGCCATGTAGAGTAGTTGATCAGGCGCTAAGTCCTCAGACAAGAGGTGGTGTTGATGTTAGTAACCCCTAGTTATGTGTCTCGTCTCACAGTGGGGGGCTTCAGATTGTCCGATAAAAAACTTCACGCTGATACAGAGCTGCTTGAGTCGCTCAGCAGAGCTCTGACAGGACACGCATTCAGAAGTACTCTCAGACCAGAGTGCAAGCACCAAACTTAGGTCAAGGATAATCTTAATGATCTGCCATGCAAAACTCCACAACCCATTCTTCTTTGTCTACAAGCCTGGTGGGACTGCATGCTTGAAGTTTAGCACGTGCTTTGGCCGTTCCAATGGATTTGAACGACTGAGCCTGATGTGTGAGGTTTTTCATACATCACATTGAATCTCTAGCCCACAATGAGAGAACAAAAGATCTTCCCAGAACCTTGCCTGCCAGTGGAAGTAATCAGTTTGCTTTCAGGGGAATGTGTTTATTACTGGTGCAAAATGTGAGTTACTTTCTTCCTCCTCTTCATTAAACATGCCCAACCAAATATATCCATGATATATACTGATTTAAGCCAGGAAGAAATTAAAACTCCTGTTCTTGCCAAGTGATCGAGTGCTTGCAGACACAGATTCCTAAGAAAGTAAAATAGAGAAAGTACATTAGCAGAGTATTTGTGCCTTCATAGGAAATGAATATGGAGGTAATTAAGAAAAGCTGATTTATGTGGAACGGTAAAACCAGGGACATAAAATGAAAAATTCTCTGTAAATGTCAAGTCAGTGTTTTGTGGTGGCCAAAACAAGGCACACAGAGTATTGCAATGGTATTAAGAAAGGAACTAAAATGCCACTATATAAATCCCTAGTATATGAATATTTAACACATTGTATGGAATTCTAGGCATGTGATCTCTAAAGATTATAGTAGAACTGTTGTTTTACTATAGCCTGCTACTACCATTTTGAGAGTAACAACATGTGGTGTGGCTTCTTGACTGAGGAAATTAAAAAGACAAAAAGAGTATGACGAGGGGATAAGCAGGGCCTATAAAATAATAGGAAAAGGCAAATGGGAAACAAGAAATGGAGAACATAGAATCACAGAACCCCAGCCTGGTTTGGGTGGGCAGGGACCTCCCAGACCACCCAGTCCCACCCCCTGCCTTGGGCAGGGACCCCCTCCACTAGCCCAGGTTGCCCAAAGCCCCATCCAACCTGGCCTTGAACACTGCCAGGGAGCCAGGGGCAGCCACAGCTGCTCTGGGCACCCTGTGCCAGGGCCTCAGCACCCTCACAGGGAAGGATTTCTGCCTCACATCCCATCTCCATCTCCCCTCCTGCAGCTTCAGGCCATTCCCCTTGGCCTGTCCCTCCCTGCCCTTGGCACCAGCCCCTCTCCAGCTTTCCTGGAGCCCCTGCAGGGACTGGAAGGGGCTCTAAGGTCTCCCCGCAGCCTTCTCTTCTCCAGGCTGAACCAGCCCACCTCTCTCAGCCTGTCTCCACAGCAGAGGAACTCCAGCCCTCTGACCATCTCCATGGCCTCCTCTGGACTCGCTCCAGCAGCTCCATGTCCTTCTTGTGCTGGGGCCCCCCGAGCTGGACGCAGCACTGCAGGGGGGTCTCACCAGAGCGGAGCAGAGGGGCAGAATCCCCTCCCTCGACCTGCTGGTCACGCTGCTGGGGATGCAGCCCAGGACATGGGTGGCTTTCTGGGCTGCAAGGGCACGCTGCCGGGTCATGTGGAACTTCTCATCCACCAGTACCCCCAAGTCCTCCTCAGGGCTGCTCTCAATCTGCTGATTGAGAACAGCTGATGAACTTACTAGGCATTAAGTTTAAAGTACTTGACAAAATACATGCATGAAAATTGTTGAACTCATTGCTGTAGAAGCCAACTTAAAATGGATTCAAAAGCAATCAAGTCCTTAGGAAACAGAAGGAACCATTAAAAGTTCCAGTCCTTCTTGACCTCTGGCTCCAAAAGACCCTGTAATGCTAACCATTGGTGTATTTGGGCAAAGATCAGACTAGCCGTGTTTCTTGCTTTCATTCTGCATTCATTGTCAAGCACTGTAAGAGATAGTACAGCCATTCCTGCATAGCTTCCTACTTATGTTATAAGCCATTCTTCCCCTACAATACATATTCTTTTACATTTTTGGGGTTTATGTTAAGAATTTACATAGGTGGTCTTCAAATACAAAGAGGCTCGATTAAAAGAAGTTGAGAACAAATACAAGTAACTCAAAGAGTTTCTGTTAAAAGTTTAAGTAGCACTGATAGCTATTTCATCCCATTATTTGCTAAAAAGATACTAGCTTTATTAAAGGACCTCTATTAGAGCTCTGGACACTGGTTACAGTATTAACAATATTTATTTTTCATGAACTCTCACAGCAGTGCATGCAAGAGAAAAGGTCAGCGATAGAATGCAGTCTCAGAGCCTGTTTTTTGCGATGTTTTCCAATGTACAGAACACTGTTCAAGTGCTGGTGAGGTTCTACAGTGCCAGATCTAAGCGCTCAAAGACAAGGAATGCTTTAGAACCAGATGTTTTTAGTCACCTCAGTGGAGAAACTCATTGGAAAGAAAGTACTGCAGGCTGAGATGTGGGAGGGGAAGGAAGAGGTGATTTAGGCCAGTTCTGGGCAAAGATTCTGTTAACAGCATACTGGTTTATGATTCTCCCCTTCACAAGTGCACAGAGGGTCAGATGCACAAACAACAGCTACCTCTTCTGAAGTTCAGGCTTCGCCAACTTACTGCAAGAAAACTTTTGAAAGCGTGTTCAGCATTCACTGAGTTATCTGCAGCCCAGTCCCCTGTTTTTTTGAGAAATATACAGTCTTTTTGCTAGGAGAAAACAAAAAACCCAGATGGTTTTCCAGGTAAGTACTGTGAAATATGTGTATGTGTGTGTGTATATATTCCACTAACTCAGGGAAAGCATGTATGTTCTTAATTCTGCTTCTTTCCACTGGATCTATGTATTAGTTCCTTTCGGTAGTGCTTTCTATGCGTAGCTTGGTGCAGGGTTTTGAAATCAGTTGCAGTCTTCTGACCTTTTCTTGTTTCAAGAAGTATTGTAGAACGTCTACTTGTGTCCCGATGCCATGAAGCACTTTTTTTTTATTTCTTTATAGCACTTCTTTCTTAATAACTTAAATACCATTACCTTTAAGCATAATAAGAAATATTACCTATTTATCTAAAAACTGAATATGGCCCAGTCATGTTTCAAACTTTCACATCCTGGAGCACACAAAATATGCCATGTAGTACCATCCTAATTTCAGTATAGAAGCACCTTCCTCCAAACATGATCGCATAAATAGATAAATGAAGGAAATTTTCTAATTAAAAAGTAGGTATGCACATTCTAAAAGCTAAACCCTAACTCACAGCAATTAGATCATGAATAAGTAATATAATGGCCTTTAGTTATATATCACTACATACAAGTCTGAGGAAAAAATACGATCTTGTTGAGGCCTAACTGGTATTCTAGCAAATGGATTTCAGCTGTATGTAAATTTGAATAAACATCTAAAATCTCACTATTCAGTCATTAAAAACTTTACCTATTTTCAACTTGAAATGTTGATTTTAGCCATGAAACCTCCAAATGGAACATAAATAGATGATACCTATTCACTGGAGATTTCAGTGGCCCTTTAGACCCAGAGATTTATTTCTGTATGTATTATTAGATCTGATTAGGCTGCAACAAATGAAATTACCTATAATTTGCTGGAAAAGTACAGGCAAATGTCACAAAATGTACAGTTAAGTCACTGTAATCCAGTTACAGGTAGATTAAAAATATACAGCTACTTTTTTATTATTATTTTAAAGCAAATTAAATATGAAACGTTTGCTCTGAATACTCAGAAAAAGAGAAAAATATCAGAATCTGTACAACTTCACTGAAGAACAAAGGAGTTATCTCTAAAGCAGTCCACTAGAAAATAGGTTGTTTTTTTTTTAAAAAAGTTCTATTTAATTAACTTTTGTCACTGACTGTGATAACTATCTGAAATATGAATTTATCATTTATCTACAGACTTCCTAAATTTTTTTCTGGTATTAACAACTGGTAATACCCTGCATTCCTTTAGTACACTGGATAAAAATTACGCCTATTTGGCTGCTGTTCAAGACATCTTTTGCTTCCCCTCTCCTACCATTAATTTTCTGACACAGATATCCACAGCAATACACACACACCACGCCACCACCACCCCAAAAAGCAAGGACGTATTTTTCATTTCTGTAAAGCCATTATCAGAGTAACTTCATTCTCCTGCTTACTTCTGCACCCCTCCCCCAAGCACACATTTGATCGAAAGGGCTTCATAATTTCTGAGTTCTTGCTATATCGAACAGCAAAACAAAATATAGTATTGCTCTGTATTTCGTTCCTCAGGATCGGGAACAAATACAGATTTTACACTGCAAACTGTTATCTGACGTAACAAATTTCTCAAGTGTCTTCAGTGAGGTGAACTGGGTCTTTTGTCACCTTCAAGTTGGGTGAGATGTCGTACTCCTATAGAGATGCTAAAAATGTTTAGTTTCTAAAGAAAATAGGAAAAGGGAATCACCTGCTTCTGAACACACAGGATACAAAATTATTCCACACATATGATTCTTTTTTTTTTTTACCCAAAGAATATTCCTCCTTTCCAGTGTAGGAACAATTTTACAAAGAACAAATTACTGTACTCATCTGTATTTCCTCTTAACCTACACAAGCTATTATCAGTTCTGTAGAAACCGTTCTATGTATCTGCTTTAAGATACATGTATGTATGTGCTGAGGAAAGAAAGGGAACTAATTAGTATATATTTAAAATACTATATGCAAAGCACAGAACAGAGATAAGAAATTCCGTAATTTTTTTATGTCCTTGCTTGTCTTAATTTTGAAATCATCTTTAGCTTCTGCTGAATAATGATTCATTTCTAAATGCAAAAGATCATTTAGCTTTGTGTTCTTTATTAAGACTTCACTATCTTTACAAAAATAGAATAGAGCATTAGCCTTTATTAGTTTTTAGTTTACCATACAGTTAATTTATTTTGAAAGGAGCATTTTGGGATACAATATATTTAGTTTATTATTGATGGTTTGTTTCATTGTTAGTTTATAGCAGGTCTTCTGGTCACCGCAAATTATCAAGTTTCTGCTATTACATACTAAAAACCACACAGATGTCAGAAAATGTTTTTCTAAAAAAGTTAATTTAGGATAAACTATCATGTTGTAGCAAACAAGGTCAAAAGTCCCTTTAAAAAGGAGACTATTTCATTGCCTCCCAGTTTAGATTCTCCATAGACACGGTCCACAAATGAAATAGGAACCTGTTGAAACAAGCAAAACTATTTTTAAGATTCAAAACCTAAATAATCAGATATTCCATAAACAAAAGAATGGCCTTTGAATTACAGCATGTTTAGACATGGGAAGAAGGCAAGCACCAGATTGGCTTCCTTTATGTCAGTTGTTCTTACCAGGGGCTTTAATGATGCCCCATTGCTGAGGAGCATGAAATTATTTGGTTTATCACCTTTAAAGATGATCCAAAGACATTACTCAGTGGCTGGATGATACATCAGTCAGAACAAACTTAATAGCTGAAGTGCACTAAAAGCCTGGGGGCTTAAAATGAACCTTCACCGCTTTCCTTGTTATCTAAATTCAACACCTTTGAGTCAGGAAGGCAAAAAGCTCCCGCCACCATGAAACAGTGTTCTCCTCAACCTCACATCTGGCTAGAAGATGACACTTGAATGTGGCTGTTAGTGCAGATTTTACAAACAATACCTGTCTTTGTCTTTGACTACTTTATAGAATACTTACAGGACTAAAGGACATTTAAACTACTACTTTTGGTTTTCTTACGTAAGTGATCATACTGTCCAGATAACTCACTACTTATAAAATGGTAGAACATACTGCTTTTCAGTAATCTGACCACGTACAAATGACATATGACAGGACATTCTGCCAACATTATATTAGAATATTCAAGACTTTCCATATATGTTTGTGTGCAAAATTGAAATACTTCAGGGGCTACAATAAAGAATTACATTTGCAAAAGTCATTAAAAAAATTGGCTTAGTGTTCTGCTGGCAGTTTCAACCAGAAATCATCTGGCAAGTGGAACACAGAAATCACCACACCCTTGCATCTGTGCCAGGACTGAGGATTTCTCGCAATTCTAGCGGATCAGACCACGGTAGAAGAGCACCCAGGGCAAGACAACCGTAAGGAAGATGCCTAAACTGGCATGCAGATAGACCCAACAATGACTCTGGCTTTCTCAGCAGGGTCCCTTTGATGATCCCAGTAAGCATCCTGGCAACTACAGACAGCTGACCTACGGGGCATGGACAGAAATCACTGAGTATGTGCTCAGTGCAGGATGTCAGAAGTGACATTTCCAGACCAGTGATGAAAGAATGGTTAATTTCTCATCTAATAAAAGGTACCCAGTCTTTCCCTTTAGTGTAAGAATTGACCATCTGTGGTGTTGCTGGACTTTGCCTTTCTTGCATAAGAAGTTCTATCATTAGTCTTAAAGGAAGCATTTTCAAAAGGGTGTATTCCATGCGCTGTGCTACATTTCACGTATGGTAAAGAAGTACAGCAGAGTGACTCAGAGGTGCATACGAGACTATTCCAGAATAGCCTGTGTCAGTTTATCTCATCATCCATTTGTCCCTTTTAGACCAGCAAGCCTCAATCTTCATTTTCAACTTTGCTTAAGAAATATTTTACCCTCACAAGCATTTCTACATTTTGCAACTGCATAAAAACTCTTATTCTGCCTGTAGAGTTGCAGCACCCACAAACCAGGAATTAGACATGCAAGCATCATCTCTTCTGGAATTTTGGTATTACTATTTTGGGTAATTGCAAAATATATAAAGATCGTAAGTATTGATCAGGAAACACTGTATCGATGGACTTGAAATGTAATGAAAAATTGTCCTGCCCCAGGAGTAACAAGACAGAGATGATACACAGAACAGTAAAAATACAATAGTCTTATTTATGTGTCTATGTCAGCAATCTGAACACTGTCAAGTTTGTTACAGATATCCCAACAGAAATCCTAAAGACAAGGCTGAAGCAGAATAATGAAGCAACTTTTCAGATGTTGGAGAGAACTCTTCCTACATGTGAGAATCCAAAGGGGGAGGGAAGATGCTGCTTGCTGGAGCCTGTAACGGGTGGATTGTGGAGGATGGCCTAACTGACCCATTGCAGAACAGAGCCCACGTCTCGACACCGACTGGCAGACGTCAGGCCTAGCGAGGACTGTCTGTCAGGCTTTGAACTGGAAGACAAGTATCTTAGATTTCATGCTCTACCACCACTAGAGGCATGTAAATAGAGAAGTGGTGGGATCAAACAACAGACAGAAAAAAGGTCTTTGCAGCAGTAGTCTGAAGAAGTACAAGCAACCCAAGACTGCGTTTTTTTTAAAGCCAGAGAAGTGTATTTTACTGTTTTAAAAATGTATAGCAAATTAACCCTCATCTCACCCTAGGTTTCAGTATCTAGATGTATAGAGAGGTGAGGATTTAATTCAGCAATATTAGAAAGCAATATGTGAATGCAGCTGGAGGTGAAGACCAAAGAAATTAGGGTCAAACGCCAGCTACAGACAGGATGTGGTTCCATAAGCAAGAAGGGTGGGAGAAGAAAACCTGCTTCATTGCGTGGAAATACTCTACCTGATGTTGACAGAGAAATGCAATATGTAAGGTTTAGAGAGAGAGAGAGAAACAAGTACCAGCAACGGAATTCTCTGACAATTCACAGTCATGGAAATGATGATTAAGAACTGGTTCTGAGATTTGGCTGCAGAGAGCATTCCAATGAATCATCTTTAAAAACACCAGCAAGAGCAATTCAATGAAATATAAAAGGCAGCAATCAGACTGCTGGAAATACAGGATCTAACAATTGTTTGGGGTTCTTTTTCAGTGACTGTAGACAGCACACTCAAAGAGCTTAGAAGTGAAAAGTTGTGATAGCTGGAAAGTTGGAAAACAACAAGGCAATAAATGACAGAGAGAACAGAATAAATCTGGAATAGAATAAAAAATTATTTGAAGAGACCTAACTAGAGATGTCTGTACAATATGAAGGAGGAAAGAAAAGGCTCAGAGAGGCTTCAGGGTATATTTTGACTTGTTTCCCTCCTTTGAAGAACCCTGTAAAATTGTATGCAGCTGAAGAAAATGGCAACACGAAGAGGGAAGGATCTGAGAAGCCTGTCACCCAGGGGAATAAGTAACTGGAATTTCAGAACTGGTATTCACCTGGAAAAGTTGGAAAAATAGAGTTCTGCACATGTAATTTCTTTATATCCATTTGAAAATTTTGCTGCTTCTTGGAAGCACACAAAATTTCATATGGTCCCAGTAATCTGTACCTATATTTAAATAAAAGCAAAATATACTTATCAAAACTTTTACTATACCTCTCCAATAGTATATCCTAACTGTCTAGCCCGAACAATCATCTCCATCTGGAAGACGTATCCTTTAGAAACGCATTTTTCCATTAGTTTCTGTAAGACTTCTTTTCTGTATAACCTGTAAACGATTACAAAGAAAATGAAACTTGAAGCACAATTTCTGAACTTCAGAAATCAAGACAGTGTGTAGGAATCTTAACTGTAATCACTCACTCGTATAATTACTATTTTAAAAAAAAAATCTTTAACAAAATCATAAGAGCAACAAAGAGCAATCTGGTCTCCTATTTCTTACAGCCTTTCCAAACAGATTTCATAGTCCCCAATGAAAAAGGTCTGTTCTCACTCCAGTTCCTTGTTCAGCAGTTTCTTAATTTCAAATAAATGTTATGAATTGCAAACCAGACTCATACCTGAAACTCCCTGTTAAGTCTGATGCACCTGGTCTCAGCAAAACCTGAGTTATAAAATTGGCACCACGACTGTGAAAGAAAACACGAATGTCAAAATTGCTCAGTACACAATTCTGAAAGATCACGCAGAATTTCTAGAAAATAAGTAAATATCCTACTAGCAAAAAACCCCCACAACCTTTTATTGCTTAATTATGAAACAACTGTATTTCTAATATGTTTTCACTGCTAGATTTGACTAATAAATCATACAATCTTAAAACCCAACGTTTTGTTTTTCAAATGTAGATGATTAGTAGATTATTGAATTTCTCTATGAAGGAGAAAACCATGACTTTTAGAAATTAGGTTTACAATCTGGTTCTTTATGGTAGAACTGTCAGTACTAATGTCAGAACTAACCGTCAGAACTACAAACTAATACAATACATAAGAATTAGATTTTACAACAGCCAAAACAACATTTTTCTTCTAACATTCACTGTAAGTGGAGAATAAAAATGCTTCCTGGACAAATGCAAGGCTTGGATTTAGAAAATCAAGGTTCAGTTTTGGCTTACGCTTCTTTCGTAAGCTCCACTGATGAAAAACATGGTGAGACCGAAAAACCAGTGGTGACTATCTTGCTGAGGGCTGTCTTACACACTGATAACATGTGCAAGTCCTTCACCTTGTCCAGTATGATGTAAAATGATTTCTCTGTAATGTCCATTTAGCTCTCTTCCTCTTTTGGGGTGTGTATTTTATTTAGAGCTACAAGTAGATGAGCACTTATTCCAGCCATTAAAAACCAGGAGAAATCCAAATACAGTCCCTGTGATACCATCTCCAGATCAGTCTGGTAACACAACTTCTGCTCCTAATTCTCTACAGTAACACACAAATCAGCATTAACTTACACCTATTCTCTTAAATCAGGGGGGAGAGAGAACAACTGCGCAGAAACTTGTCGATTACCTCCTCAATCCTATAAGTCCCTGAGACGCCAGCATAATCGTGTGTAGGACCTTGACAGAGTTTTCCTCTTTGCTTGTGGGTGAAACTTCCCCAGTGTTCACTGTAACTGCTTTCCAGTAAGGTCTAAGTAATGATTGATTGACATTGATTGTGCCAGATAATTCTGAACTCATGACAAATCAGAGTGTCAACAGAGGTGTCTAGCAAGTGTTTAGAGGAAGGACCATTACAGCTATTAAAGCTAATTAAACATGTCTTTTAAACTTGACAAAAGCATCATAGTCTCAGCTCATTCTTTGGAGATGAGGCCGAAAGCCGGTCTCAACCTGATGCTGTGCAGATTTGTCCACTGGTCCATTTCTCAAGCCTACTCATATCATTACAGTCTGTCTTGGTGGGTTTTAACTGCAGAATTTGCAAGTCATGCGTGCTTCTCTTATTTAACATGATTTTGCAGTACGCGGTAGTATTGACTAAAGACTCGGTTCAGCTCACACAGATTGAGTACTCGGAATTATTATTTCTAAATAACAAATTTATGTGTAAATATCTAGAAAAATACTAACCTGATTAATTTTCTTTTCAAATCCCAGCCATATACTCCTCCATTTCCTTTATATCTTGTTCCAGATACAATATCAAAATTGCCTTCTTTCTGCTTTCTGTAAGCAATTGGTTTTATCAGAAAAACAAGAGGAATATTTGTATGAAGGTAGGACAAATTTCAAAATAAGCAAAATGACTCTTTTAGTATAAAATCTGTATTTTACAGACCTTTGAACAAATACTAGAGAAGAGAGGAAAGCAATAGTTACAGTGGTTATAAGCATTATGCATTTAAAAACCTGTTAATTGTTCTCTTACAAAGAGCTATTTCAGGGAATCTTACAATTATCTTTTACCAGTTATGTCATAGAATTTCATAGATGACTTCATAAATAATTTATAAAGACCAACATGCATTTTTAAAGCCCTTCTCTAGTACAAAAAGGCAGAATGATTTTAAATACAGATTTCAATATTTAAATTACACAAACCCATAGTAAGGGAAAAAAAAGTCTGGAACTATCCTTAGTCCATAGCATGCCTGACTGCTGCAGAACCTGATCAAAATTTTAGGTCTCTGGTCCTACCTAGCAAGAACGTTGAAAATTACGCAGACTGCTGCCCTTAGCCTGCTGACCATTTCTCAAACACTGAATTCTTACAGGGAGAGGAAGGCAAGAGGTAGACAAAAGGCAGACAAAAGTATTTCGCCAGTAACTGATCGATATCCCTACATGCACACACAATGAAATAACATTTATATATATGCTTTTCAAAGCTGAACAGCCATTACAAGGAAGAGAAGTACTGAGCCACACATGCTCTCTGTTACTTTAAACTTGGGGATTTTTGCTCTAGTTAGGAACTAATTATTTTTCTGGATTATTCTGGGACAAATCTAATGAGGTCAAATCACTTTTATTTGTATTCTTGCCTTGCCAATTTTCTTACTACAGCTAGACAGCTATACAAGAATATAAAGTGTTCAAATATTACTACGAAACAATAGATGTTCATAAGTCATTCTCTCATACTACAATCGGCACCTACCTGATAAACTCTGGAATAAATTTTGGCTGAAATGGAAGGAGAACAGATCAGAAAAGGAGTGGGGATAAAAAAAAAAAAAAAAAAAAGAAAATGTAATTGTAACAGATTAAAACAACCGTACGTAAAATAGAGACTTACATGGTGAGAGAGGTCAGCATCCATAATAACAATAAAATTCCCAGTGGCGTGCTTCATTCCATGAATATAAGCAGTACCTGATGAAAACAGTACAGAAATAATTTCCCTCACTATTTTAACATCTGCAATCTTCTGGCCACATTCTTAACTTACTTTCTAAAAAAAGTATCTCTAAGTTATACTAGAAAAGGATCAACTAAAACCTCCTAAAATTTATTTTAAAATGTATCAGTAGTCAAAGATTAAAGTTATTTTTCCTTCTCCCAACAATTTCAGCACTAGGTTTTATAAATATAAACCTTGGCAAACCCTACTGCACTGGAAATAAATGCACAGAGAAACATGACTTGAGAAGTGGGGCACTATTTGAAATAACATTTCCAGAAGCGCCACAGGCACTTATGAGCCACAGAAAACTGGAAATATGACACAGGCAACAAAATAATCACTGAGAGTTAAAAAAACCCTTGCTTTCTAGACTCAGGATTTACTATTAGTAGTATATAGATCTTGGGTTGTTCTCCCTGACACCGTGAATTATATTCTGATACCTAATCTGAAGGTAGAGTCTTTTTTTCTTACTTCAGATTTTGTTGCATTTTATCCATGCTGTATGAACAAGCTATCTTGATTAGAGCTGGAACAAGTCTTGCCATTACAGTTTTCCTCAACAATGCAAATTTCTGATCCGAGTCATGTCATTCAAAGACAGCACTGCTTCCAAGGACAGCACAGCTGCGCAACAGCAATTAAAAACTGGCACATACTTCTCACTGATCCAAATTACTCCTGAGTCTTTGTGTTAGCTTCAGAAGGAATAGATAAAACTGAAAACAAAACACTCTCAACTGATGCCCTTAGCAGGCACTCTCAGAGGAAACTGAGCTCCTGTTAAGGAACAACCTGTCTTTCCTTTCTTCTCCACGTTGCTTGCAAAGTTACACAGAAGGAGCATCACAGATTTGTGTACTGTGCATGACTAGTAGATATGGTACATGAAAAAATTAAAATTGGCCAGTTTTAGTCCATAATACTGGTTGAATTAGGACAAAGGGGTGAAAAGGCAGACAACAAAGATATGTAGGCTTTTTGGGGTTTGTTAGATAAATGAGATTAGAAAAAAGTATAGAAAGGTGATTTAAATAAACAATTCAATGTCAAAATTAGAATTTTATTTTTGTTCAGTGGACTGGAGAGATCAGTTAGCTGCAGTACTTGGTACACAAGACACGACAAATGTTTTACCGGCACATGGAAGTGGTGGTTGCCAAGACATTTAGCAAGAAAGGCAGATACTGATTAACAATGAAATCAAACAAGGTATTGCATTTTATCATTTTCTCCATTCCTATTATAAGAGAGGAGAGATAAGGATACAACATGAATCTTAACAGATGGAAATATCTTTCCATACTACAAGTTTTATATGTCATTTATGACTTCCTAGGGATCTGCTTTTTTTCTAAAGCAAATAATGACAAACTTGATTTACATATTCTGTGAAACATGGCATCAGAGCGATAAAATTGCAGTCCTGCACCATTCCATGCAAAGTTTAATGATCAATCTCAGCGGTATGAGATTGGCTCCCAAATGAGTGAGATTTCTGCAATGCGAGTAACACTTGCAATGTACTTCAAAGCCTTCAATTCACGTTAGTTAATAGGTGAGACAATACTTAGCAATCAGTGCTGGGCATTTGTCAGATATGTATTGTTAGAGTCATAATTCACACTGAAACATGAATTTCACTGTCCAAATACATGTCAGGAAAACATCCAGCCTTCTCTGGAGATTGCCCGAACTAAGGTCCAATTTCTGGAGCATCCTGCACACAGGCAGATTGCACAGAAAGCTCTGCTGTCCCTTCTGGGTCAGTAGGTTCCACACAAAACCAGCAGCTACTCTTGTAAAATGGTACATTTTTCCTCAACCTCGACTCCTCGCTGTGTACTCAGTGAATGCAGCGTGGGGGGAGAGAAGCAGCATGATGTTAACAGGAAAACATGCTTGTACAGAATCACAGTGACCACAGTTTTCAGGTTGGAGGTTGTGGGGAACTTGTTATAAATAATACTCTGTGATTTTTTTGTGTGTGTGGTTTTTAAGCTTGTTCACTTACAAAAAACTTGATGAAAATGTGTATTTCTGCTTTTGGGCTTTACTGTGATTTTTTTTCTGGAACTTTATACACTAAAATCAATCAAAGAACACAGAAGATTTCACCACCCCCACCCCCCCCACCACTAACCAGAGTTAATAAGGACTTACCAAGGCCCAACTTTCTTGCTCTGGGTCTTAGAAGCTGCAGGATATATTAAAATATACATATATTACTTGAAGTACAGTTTTTAATTAATTTTAGTGACACATTTTCAGGGTATAAAAATATTTTAAAGTGTACTTTTCATTTTTAGAAATCGAGATAACATATAAAAATATATTTATCTGTGAAAATACAGGAAAAACAAACCATTATATTAAACAGATATTTGATCAGGGCATATTTAAAAACAAACTCCTTTTAAGCTTTTCTTAGTAGATCTGCAGTAAAAAAGAAAACAAAATTAAAAGCACCATCTTAGTAACAAAAGGATTTCCTCAAATTCCACTATCCAAAAGAAAGTTATAAATCTGAACACTATTTCCCCAGCACCATTACTTTTAAGGAGTGACAAACACTAACAGCAAATGTTCTAGCAAGCTTCCCAAAGTGCTTTAGTACTGAATAGAAACATGACTCAAGTGTGCTTGGCTTAGCACTGCTGCAGGGGTAGGCCCACAGATTAACCTTCGAAATGAAACTCTTAAGCAGTGAGCAAAGGTTGGGTAACTATTTTAAACTCTTCTGTTACTGGTATCAACAAAGAAAAAAAAAGGAAAAAAGACTGTAAAACTTCCTATATACATTGTTGTTAAAGCAATCTCTATCAGTGGTACTTCATTCACAAATACTTTTTAACACCTTGCGTTTACACAGTAATAGATTAAGAAAGCGTCTGACTGCTTACAGTGCAAACTGAACATTGGGTTGTTACACTGTTCCATGATAAACTTTTATTGCCAAAAATGTGGTTTTAGTGGCTCATAAAGACTAAAAAAATGACAGTATCTTGTTGTATATAATTGATGGTTATACCATAATATATTAAATAGGAAAAAAAAAGCCCTGTTATTAAGGAATGCAACTAGACAGATTAAAAATAAATGACAAGAGCAGACTCGCTTTCATCTGCCCAATTTCCCTCTTCCTACAGTCAGTTACAATGAAATTAAGCGTTATCCAAACCTCATCTTTCCCTCAGGCATGCACAAAGTACACTAACAACCACCAGTCATTGCTCAATAGCACACAGCCATGCGCAAAGCATTGAAAACGTTTTTCAAACATTAATTCATGATTCCGCATATTCAGAATGCTGCTGAGCAGCTGCAGGAATATCACGATTTGACATTTGTCTCGAGTGGCGTGCAAAAACTTATATAACTTGTTTAAGGATGTAAAGAAAGTGCAGAATCCAGGCACGCCATTCCAGTTGTCTAAGGACTTCAAGTACTTTCCCGTACAACAAAAATGGAAAAGAAGAAATACAGAATATGCAACTCACTATTTTGTCTGATCCATATATCGTTTGCAACTGTTCAGCAATTTCCTGCGTCCCGTCCGGGCTTCCATCATCTATGATGATAATTTCAAAGTTGTTCCCACTGAAACGACAACTGTTGTTACGTGAAGAAGCGGAAGCCCCAGTTTCACCACGGTGCCGTCGAAGAGCAGAGGACGAAGCGGTTTGCTGCAGCCAGGGCCGCTC